GCTGCCCGGCCAGCACTCCCTGCCAGTGTTCCTCTGTCTCAGCCACACTCAGCAGAGTCCTCTGCCTTTACACCTTTGCTTCCACCTGGCTGCCTGGCATCTCCTGACATCCTTGCTCTTGCTTCCTCTAAAGTAGTTCTTCAATTTTTTTTTTTTTTTTAGTCTCACGGCATACTTGAACCTATAGTTAAACTTCTGTGGCCCACTTAAAATTGTATTGAACAACAACAAAAAGAAAGTAAAAAAAAAGAATATATTTGTGTGCTTGGGTCTTTCAAAAATAATTTAATGATCTTTGAAATTTTTCACAGTACTCCTAACATCCTCTCATGGCTCAGAGGTTGAAAATCACTGCTCTGTAGAGAGCAATGTGCCCCATTTGCTGAAGCCTTCTCAACACCAGCAGTGTAGTATGTCCTAGCCTTCTTCCGTTCCTTCTGTCCTCCATCCTGCTACTCTGCTTTAGCTCGTGTTGGTCACATTGTCTTCTGTGTGTTGGATTTGGTACATGCTCTCCCTCTGAACCTCTTGAGGGCAGGAACTGGACCTTGTCTTTGTGCCCTGCCTGGTGCACAGAAGCTCAGAGTGTGCTTGCATAAGTCAGAGAATTTGAATGTGGTGATAACAGCTAACATGTACCAAGTGCTGTGCTGTTTTATTAACAGAAATGCATCCTAGTTCTGATGTTGCTCATAAAAATGCAATTAAATTTATGCGAATGTAAACATACACCATGCATATGCCCAAACCTGAGCCTTGCAGAGCAGGTATCCAACATATCCATGTATCTGTAGATGATCAGATTATGAATGGATGGGTGAGTGAGGGAGTGAGTGACTTGAAAGAGCCTCCATCCTCCAGGAAGGAAAGAAGAGGGGAACGGGCTGGACGACCATACTGCCCTTGAAGCAGCACTTGTTGCTTGGCTTGAGGGAGGGATGAGGCAGGAGCTAAGCTGACAGAAGCTCTATGGCAGTCCACATTTTCTGCTTCTGGGAAATAACAGGTCTTCCATACCTTCTCCCATTTTCTTAGACCATGAGTTTTTTTTTTTTTTTTTTT